GAGAACAATTCTCATAAATATCTTCAAGGTACTGCAAATAAAATAGACAAAAGTTACTGAATTGCACTTGACACTAATGCAAACATTGTCAAAGCTATTCGTGGGGGGAGGGGGTGGGGGGAGGGGCTGGGGAGAGGGCTATAGTGCCAGGTTTAAAAGGGAAAATTTGCCCACTTTAAACAGATAAAAGAGCTGCATGGAACATATGGCAGTTTTCTTTAGGAATTGGTTATCTAACGCTGTATATAACTTCTTTAAGTTAAAAGAAAGCAAAGCCTCCTGTCGACGAGACACCGCAACAAATTATGCAGAAATTCACCATTAAATCTCAATATTTTTACCTTTTTCGATACCTTGTAGTTCTTCGAGTACTTCTGAACACTTCTAAGACTTTTCAAGTCAATTTTTGTCCCTGAAAATGGCAAAAATAAGGCCATTTTTGTAAGCTTTCAGACTTGTTGTCTTTCATGCACGTGTGAACGTGCCGTCTGGTCACGTGACGGGAGACTGGGAACTAATGCGSGAAAATCTCCGCGCGCGCGAATCCTTTCGCGGAACCCGCAAAATGCCCGCGTTTTATCATCAAATGAAATCATTCATCGTTTTCAATCACAAATCAAGAAATGAATAACACAGCAAACATGAAAAACTTGAAATTTGAAAGGACAATCATGTTAAAATCCACTTTTCATTCGTGTTTTATCATGAACGAGGGTGTTTCTACGGGAACTGCGTGCGCGGATTTTTACATCAAATTATGATAATGACGTCATAATTAAATCAAATTACATGACGTCATAGTTCAAATTATTCATTTTGGTTGCCTGTTCTTTTTTCAGAAGGTAAGTTTGATGGCCGTTAGCTGCGCAAGATTGACCATTGAAGGTACTTTTTACAATTTAGAAGGGTGTACTACACCCTTCTAAATTGTAAAAAGTACCTTCAATGGTCATGATGACTTGTTAATCACCGACGGACTGAATAGATCAATTCATTATGGTGTGAAGAATGGTGCTGAAGTGATTTAGCCCGCATCCGGAAAGAACGGGATGACTTGTGATAGTTGCTCGAGAGCGCATTAGACGCATCCAGGGGCCCATTACTGCTTTACTAGGAGCGTCCATGATGTGCCTTAGGTTACAGCGTTTTCAGAGACGTAGCTATTTTTAGATTTYTTTTYGACCAATAAGAGTCTCCTGACGCATCAATCCAACAATTAATTTATCTTGTCCAATTTGCGGACATATATTCGCCAGACGAGTTGGAAGTCGACCCTTCCAATAATGACTCAAAGAATCAAGAACTATTTCTTGAAGGCACAAAGTAATGCGATGCCTTTGGTATGCGGTTTACTCACAATAAGTGACGTCACAAYGCTAATGAGTTATTGAGACGAGTTTTTCCTTTGCTGCAGCAAGAAGAAATCGATGTCTTCTTAGGGAGTCACAAACTCAAAAGAAGAAATTCTATCGATGTTGCTTATCTATAATGAATACATAATGGCAGTGCCAATGCATTCTTTTATTTCTTTCGCGCGCAAAGTAAGGCGATGTCTTTGGTAAGCGGTTTCTGCTCATAATTTAGTGACGTCACAATGCTAATGAGCAATTAGATCATTCATCTCCTTTGTTTGCTGAAGCCTTTCGTCYGAGGTGCGAAGTTACAAATTTAACAGATGTCGTCCGAAACTTGATACAGCCAATAACATCGCAAAACGTGAACGTGCAACAGAATTTTAAGCAATGGTGACCATTAAAAGAGACTGCATACTTCGGTGTTTTAAGGTAAGGTAAAGGGATAAAAAATGCGCCTACTGCAAACACAATCCGAATTTTGAACAGAAAAGTTAAAATGAGAAAAATGATTGATGGCTAAACTTGATTGGTGCCTCAATTTGATTGACAAACTGATTGTCCCGTAACACTGCATAACTGATTGACTTACATTKGATATCTGTAAAACCTACCTCAAAAATGACAGCTGTCAATCATTATGCAATTGCAAAATGATAGCTTTTTCATCAAGGGATGGATAGGCGTTCTTTTCTGCGACAGAACACAAGCCTAATTAAATAAGCTATTTTAACTTTTAACATATTCAAACTACAGACTGYAGACAGTTCAAGAATAAAATACTTTTATTAAACTTTTAAATGAGAAGTGAGCAAAAGAAAACAAAGGTAAAATATCATAATATATACTAATGCATATGCTTTAGTTACAATCTTATTCATGAGTACTTGCACATAATGACTGGTAATGTGATATTCTTAGCATCTACTGTCTTATAAATCATAATCAACCCCTATTAAGATTTCATTGAGAACTCRACAATGATAACACAGTTATTTTCTGAACAYAAAAACACATTTATCAATTCCTACTATTAAATTACATTTCACTGGGTTGAGTCAAGACTATTGACCATTGAAAAAAAGATCCCTGGCTTGTTTTTGGAGAGATGASCACAGTACTTTGTTGCACAGGYGCGAATTTGTCACATGATGTCWGTTGCTCTTAAGCTTCTTGGTTGCAGATGAAATAGCTTCATCCAACTGATACTAAACAGAAAAAAATAATAAATGAAAATGGAGATATTCACTACAAAATTTCTTTAACATAGATACAAAAATGATACAGAAAAACATCTAAAAGATTTTACGTCTTTGAAAGTTATCACAATTATGGAAATTTGAAGTAGGCTGTTATGATATACAGTAAAGACTTACCACAGAACAGTTAGTGACAACAGTGAAGATTTCTCATTCTTGATGTAGTTAAYAGCATCAGGTCAACAGAGTATTTCTTCAATTAGCACCTGACATTGAATAAATATATCTTAATGACTAAGTTTACCATAAAATTCAAGTTTAATGACCATCACAAATACTAAGAGTAACCGACACCACTCAAGTACATGTTTTCCCCCTTGACATGGGTCCTGAATCTGGATTCCAACAAAATGTTGGCTATAGACTCCAGAATCCATATTACTGCTTTATTTTCAATGACTTAGCTTGCAAACATTCACAATAACATAACTTTGCACAGAATACTCAAAAGTATTTAAAAAAAATCTATTTAAGTATTTTTTTATGTTATTATTAAAATAATAACATAACTGTTCATAAACAAATTAACACCAGATCTCAGACTTGTATTTACTTGAAGTTTGATGACTTGCMACTCTCAGCTTGGGATCACRWTACTTCTCAGACTCRGATTGSAAGTTTGATGATGTCCCACTCTCAGCTTGGGATGATATTAGTTCTCAGACTCAGATTGGACATTTGATAATTTCCCAGTCTCAGATTGGATCACATTACTTCTCARACTTGGATTGGAAGTTTGATGACTTGCCAGTCTCATACAATTGGAGTTGCAATTAGGTTGATTAGACTAGAATTGGAAGTAAAGTAGTTCTATATTTACTGYTCGAGAACATGTTATAACTGGGTTGAGTTATGTAATCCAGCACTCGATTCCTCTATCGATCTGACATGCAGTACTTAAACTGGTCGCGAGAGTTATAT